AAAAAAAAAAAAAAAAAAAAAAACTATGAAAGGACGGCGGATCCAAAAAAATCAACCAGCTTCTGCAAAATGACGACCTGGGTTTTCAATAGAACAATGTAATCAGCAGTTTCCTTGAAGAGCTGCTCTGTTTGGCGGCCCTCGGCGGATTGGGCCGGAATGAGGCTCTGAAGAGCCTCCAACTTGGCCGACACGTCGTCATCGTCGTCGGAGAAGGGCGAAGACGACGTCGTTTGGCCATTTTCGTGGGGATTAGGAGCTCGGACGGCGGAGTAGTGACGGCGGTGGAAGCGTCGGCGGGAGTCAGGTAGAGATCGTTTGGTTGTAGTTCGGAGGTTTGTGAGTGTGTTGGTTTTGGGACTCATTGTTTGTCGCCAATTAGTCGGAGGGTGAAAGGGTGGTTTAAGTAACAGTAGGAAAATTGTTTGCCCCTAGAGGGCAGGTTTATTACCATAATGCCATTGAATTGAATGTCAATTTTGAAAAGAGAGAGTGTTGAGTGTTGGGGGGAAAGAGAGGGCATGGGTGTAATAATGAAAAGAGAAAAGGGGGAATATGTAGTAATGGGCTGGGAAGAGGAGGAGGTTGCATGTGAAAGTGATATGGGGCATGGCTTTGGCAGTGGCAGGCAGCATTGGCAAAGAAGGGGAGAAAGGGTAGGGGAGGGCACATGGGGAGGCACATGCGCAGAGGGGATTTTGGAGGGTAGCCTTTGAGCATGTGACAAAACAAGGGACAGTGCAGAAGCATGAATTTGGTACACACCATGTCCTACACATTCCCTTCCATGCCCCTCTTCTCAACTTGCCTCCTGTCCCCCCTCCCACATTAACTCCATCTCAAAACGCTGGTACTCTGAGATCTCACCTCAGTTTGAGAGGAAATTCTTTATATCTGCTACGAGTGAACTTGAGATGTTACAAATAATATTTGAGACAGCCATTGAGTTGTGTGCCAACAAAGAGGTTAACCCATCCTAGAACGAGGGTGAGGGTGAAATGTTTGGAAGTGGGAGATTGAGTAGCAATTGGGATGTCTTCGGTGGGCTCGGTTTAGTATATGGTTCCTTTTGGGCCATAACCAATGTTTTCCGCAGAGGTTAGCCCATCATATTTGAACTTTCATAATACTCATTATATGATAAATATAAATAATTGATTTACATAATTATATTTTTCAGCCAATTTTTATCTTTTTATCTTTTTATTTTATTTTTTAAACATGTTATAACAATAATCTAAATTATTATTTCATAAAAGAGAAAGGAAAAAAAAAATCCAGAAATGTAACGGGCCAAGCCCAATTGAAGTATCAACTAATATAAGGTGGTGCTGAAGCCCTAGCCCTAGGGTTACTCTCTCTTTTTCACGATCAACTGCACTTGCTCCAAGCATGGCGACGGCAAAAACTGTGAAAGATGTCTCTCCTCATGAATTCGTGAAAGCATATGCTGCTCATCTCAAGAGATCCGGGAAGGTATTGATTTTTTTTTTTTTTTTTTAATTTCTACTGTTTTTTTGTTGATCTAATGGCTTATGGAAGTAATGTGGATTGAAATGAGTGTTTTAGGATGTCGATTTTGGTTATGGAGTGAGGCCTTAGCTCTTTCACGGAGGGTGAAATTGTTTGTGTGTGATTAGGCCTATTTTCGACTTCTGCGGGGTTGTTTGCAGGTTTATGGGTTTTGGTTGTTTCTTTTTTGTATTCGTTTAAACCTTCATGTGCTTCTGATTTATATATGTCGTTGCTTTCGGATTCTTTTGATGAAGATTGCTTTGTTACGAGTATTTGGTAGCGTTAGCACGAACGCTTTAAATATGTCTGTTCTTGTTATTTGTATTTTCTACTTCTCTTTCTGGGCTTCTTGAGTCCTTCTAGGATCTAATTGATTTTGTCTACATGTTCGTCGTAATGTGAGGTTTTAGATCATTCTGCAACCCCCCTAGTTTTTGTTCGCTGTTGTTTGTGCGTATCCTATTAATAGTTTGCGTTCTGTTCCTGGTTTGCTAATCCTTTCGACGTTATATGTTCCTCGTTTGTTAATAAATCGACTAGCATCTGTCTTAATAACTTATCGTTCATTCATTGCCGTGCAGGTTGAACTTCCCCCGTGGACGGATATAGTTAAGACTGCAAGATTCAAGGAGCTTGCACCTTATGATCCAGATTGGTACTATGTGAGAGCTGGTCAGTCTCCAGCATCTTCCACTTGTTTTCCATGCATTATATATACTTTTCATTAGTCTCAATGTCTCACCAAACTTATTCAGCCTCCATGGCTAGGAAAATCTATTTGAGGGGAGGTCTTGGCGTTGGGGCTTTTAAGCGGATTTATGGTGGAAGCAAGAGGAACGGAAGTCGCCCTCCACACTTCTGCGAAAGCAGTGGTGCTATTGCCCGTCACATTTTACAACAGTTGCAGGAAATGAACATTGTTGATGTTGATCCCAAGGGGTGAGTTCAAATGAACATTGTTGATGTTGATCCCAAGGAAATGAACATTGTTGATGTACATCTGATGTTCCAAGTTTTTTGTCAATGTTGATACAACCATGATTTGATTTTATTGCACTGATTTCATATCATGGGGTCATTGTTGATTGATAGTGTTTCTCTCCGAATAACTTACAGTGGCAGGAAAATCACTTCAAGCGGACGGCGGGATCTCGACCAAGTTGCTGGCCGGATAGTTGTTGCCCCCTGATTGATGAATAGAGATTTGTGTGTTTGTGATGAGAGATACGACCGTGAAAATTTTGGAGTCAGCTGTTTGAAAGATAATCGGATGAAGATAAGCTTACTCGCGTTTTTCATGGGTTTTGGATGGTTTCAAGTTCATTTTCATCTCCTTGGTGTGGATTTATGCGTTTTTAGGATGAGATATGTTTTTCAATATTCCGAACAGTCGCCTGGATTATGCTTAGCGACAGTGCATTTGTAGTAATTTTTGAAATATTAAATCATAGAGTTTGTCCACTTAATCTCTTACTTGTTCTTAAATACCATAAGTTTTATGATATCAACTTCCTTTGAAACCTTGTTAAGGTGCTATTTTCAGAACTTCAATTGCTTGGACCATTCCAATCAGTTATAGCCAGGTGATTGCTAACTTGAGCATGTTTACGAACTTATAAATTTAAAGATTTAGTGATTTGCTTGCAAGTTCTGAGAAATTGGAAAGAACAATCTATCCATAAACTCAAATGAAGCCCCCACATTTTTGTTTTGAGCAGGTAGAATGCTGGAGGAGAAAGAGCATAATCTGTGTAAAGCAAGCAACTATAATTTTGGTTGCCTCATTTCTTCATGGTTGAAAGGCATAGTGGTGGTGGCTACCCACATCATTCCAGGGCAAGCAGGACTTGCTCTTCTTCTGCTGTGGGATATGGAACTTTGGTTCCCTTGGTATAGTTGGAAGCTTTGCGGATCTTCGAGGGATGAAGGGCCTATCAAAGTAAGGCATTGGTTGTGCCTTTGGAACCAATTCTTTTCTCAACCTCCTCAGTTCTTCCTCCTCCGCCATCTGTGTTAGGTATCAAAAAACACCACCACCATTGTTGTCTTAGATGAAAAAACAAACAAACAAACAAAACCAACGTATATGAATAGTCATCCTTTTCTACCTTCTGCTGTTTCTCTCTATCCATCTTGTACTGCTCTATCAGACTCAACTTCTCTGCTACCTTCATTAACCAAAACAGAACATGGATTTTAAGTTTTGGGTTTTTCCCTACTTCTCATACAGTGTTTAAATGTAGGATTTGTTTTCGTTCGAAAAATATGGGAGGAAAAAATCACCTGATTATCAAACTCGGCCCTCTCTACTGCCCTTACATCACTGTGGAGAACCAGATCCACTGGTCTTGTATTTTCCTTCACAGGAGGTTTTACAAGGCACTGCAAATGGAAATGAACGTTTTTTTGTTTGAGCGAGTTGAAGTTTAGTTCCTGTAACAGTTCAAGACCACTGCCAGCAGATATTGTCCGCTTTTGCTCGTATCAACGTCAGCCTCACGGTTTTAAAACGCGTCAACTATTGAGAGGTTTCCACACCCTTATAAGAATGTTTCGTTGCTCTCTAACCGACGTGAGATCTCAAAATCCACCCCTTCTAGGGGCCAGCGTCCTTGCTGACACGCCGTCAGTTAACGGTAGATTTGGGCCATTACAGTTCCATCCACCAACAAAAAAGCTGGAAGAAATAGGAAATGGGAGATCTTTTACCTCTGGCTCATCAGTTGTCCAAGGAAGACCTTGAGCAATTGGTATTCTCTGTCTCTCTTGCTCCATCATTGTTTCTTGTACCCTCTTCAGAAATTCTTCTCCCTTCTCCTTACCTCTTTGCTACAAATTCAAAACAAACAAAGAGTTAGAGACTTTCAGCTGAAATTTTGGTTGTCTATTCCCATTTTTCTTACCTCTGTTCTGAGCTTAAACGGTTTTTGCCCAGTGACTTTCAACTGCCTTTTCTTCCATCTACTTCCGCCTAATGTGCCATCCGATTCAGTGCTCTGTAAACCAAAACATCATTACAATTACCAATAACTTAACTCAACAGTTGAGACTTATCTCCACTTACATTTCTTCTGCTTCTTCTTCCACCATGGGAAGTCCTGCTTGAAATACTGAATTTCGAAGAAAGAAACCACCAAGAGTTAGAGTTAGAGTTAGCCCATAAGAAAACAAGGTATGGTACAAGTAACTAAGCTACCAACCTTCCACGAGAGCTGTCCCAAGATGATGAAACTGAAGCTGCAGGATCCAAAGCACGATTTTCTGATGTAAAAAACAGTTCTGATGGGCAAAATGAAGAAGATGAGCCCTGCATTTCGGAAACCTTTGGAGGAGGTAATCCTGGCAATGCCCATTTAATCACCTTGTTCTTCTCTTCCATGGCCTTCTCTTGGTTTTCTGATAGCTCATCCGAATCTTTCGAAACACGTATAGTTCTGAGCTTCTCAAACGCCATTACCAAATGCTTAACCTTACCAGATCCCGTTTCTGGAACACTATTCCTAGCGGTCTCCAGCAGCCTTTCCCTTCGCCTCTTGATCACCGAACTACTCACTTGTTCAGGCGATTCACTCTCTCCATTAACATCAAATGCCTCTGCTTCAGCCCTGTCTTCATTTTGAAGGTCTTGAATCATTAATTTCCTCTCCATTTCTTCTTCTAGGTCAATCTCAGCCCTAATCGACCCATCCAACTGCTCCGTTTCATCGATCTCCCCAATACCGCCGCTCTGATTCTTGAAAAACTCCTCCTGAGAAGCCCTAAGAGTCTCGTAAGCCAAACACAGACATTTCTTCGCATCACTCCGAGTATTAACTTCACACTTACAATCAGTCTTACATTTACCAGATTTCTCGTTCTTTGAATTCTTCTTCGCCACCACAAACTTCCTCTCCCTGATCTTGTACTTCGGTGAGTTCAAAACCGCGCTAGGGTTTTTCGCGGCTGATTTCTGAGCTGTCTTTGCAGATTTCATCGAAGGAGAAGATTTCCAGAGCTTTGGAACTGAGCTAATCGAATCATTAACATTCGGATTCGTATTCTCAGAATTCTCCGACACTTCTTGAATCATCTTCAATCCAGATCCCGTTGAATCTTTCACAGGGGTCACTGTTCCGCCGTTCTTGCCGATCGAACCCATTTGCTTAAGACTATAATACAGATAAAAATGGGTGGAAAAATCTGTCGCCGGTGGAAGGGCGGGGAGGAGCGTCGATTCGATCGTCTTCAGAACTGAAAGTGAATTGAATCGAAAGGATATATACGAGAATAAGGCGGAAAATGGGAACGTTGAGCTCAAAGCGCACTGCGTAACGGCTAGTATTTGTGGGCCTTCCGATTAAAATTTTGAAAATGTATTAAGCTCCCTGACCGTTGGATTAACCCTAGAGGAGCTTGTTTTGATCGATTTAACTTGCACTTAAAGCAACGGTTGTGATTATGCCCCACTAACGAGAAAAGATGCCAAAGACGATAGGTTATTACAAAATTGTCCTTTTATTAATTTATCAATATTACAAAACTAAATTATAGAAAATACTTATTTTTATTTATTAAATGCGAATGAATTTTCAAAAATATTATTAAACTTTCAAAAAAATTTATTAATAATTTTAATCTAAAAAAAAATCTTTTTTCTCTTATAAGGATGAAATATATATATATATATATATATATATATATATATATATATATATATATATAATGTTCGTAATTTCTAAAAATTTTAAATAGTTTTTAACAATTAAAAAATCTATAATATAATTTTGGTTTAGAAAGTGCACACATATTATTTAATGGGTTGAAAATATATGTATATTAAGTGGGGCAGAGACAATAATAGGGCGACAGGGAAAGTCACCGAATGGGCCAGTATTTTTCATCAGTTTGTCCTATATTGAAAAAAAAAAAAGCGTGGAAGGACATTGCAGATGTCCAGGATGGACACGACTTCTTCTAACGCTAGAAGACCACTGGAAGACACCTGGGACCAGAGCATGTCGTGAAAGAAGCACACTGGGCGTGCTTTGACCGTGTCTCCGAAGCACAGTTAAACGTAGATATCATGAACGCGAGTTGCAGGATATATTTATATTAAGTGGGGCAAAGACGAGAATATAAACTCATCTCTATCATCATTTACGTAATAGAAAAATTTCTGACTTACTCTCCATTCTCTATCTAGACCGAGAATCCTCTCATGTTTGGTGCAGGTCCACGAGGGTAAAATGGACATTTTACCCATTTCGTACTCTAATTCTTTTATAGTGGGAAAAAAACATTACACATGTGGGTATAAATAATATTCGTTGGGGAAAAACGCAAAAAGTTCGCCAAAATCGAAACCCCTTAAGCCCTCGAAGAATCTCCATCTCTTCCTAGCTGACCAAGCTTCTAACTTCAAGCCTCTAATGGCCTCTCATCACTATCCTCATCAAACCCATCTTTCCCCCGCCTGTTGCTGCGGCGGCGATTTCACCACTCCCTGCTTCCAAACCCACCACCACTCTCCTCCGCTGCCACCGTCTCCCTCCGACCCCCTTCTTCAAGCTCTTGCTTCTCAAATCCTTCAATCCGCCCAGTTTCAGCAGTTTTCTCAGTACCCAAGTCTTCGTACCCAGAAATTTCAATCGCATTACCAATTTCAACCCCAAAATCAGAAGCGCTTTCGCGAGCAAGAACTTCCCCAAGTCGTCCACCATCCTACCATCTCCTCTCTTCTCTCCCGCATCGAAGCCCTTGAATCCTCTCTCCATCGAGTTTCTGGTTCTCATGTTTCTTTGCAATCTCTCCGGCAAGTTGCCGCGAGTACAATCCAGACACATTTTCGAGCGTTCCTTGTCCGCAGATCGCGAGCACTTAGAGAGCTCAAAGATCTCGCCATCATCAAGTCTAGATTTGAATCTCTCCAATCGTCGCTGTCCACTGAACTCTACTTTGATCGTAACGCCATTTCTCTCGAAATAATGGATTTGCTTCTCCATCTGGACTCCATTCAGGTAATTGTCGTTTGGTGGATGTATTTCATTTCTTCTACTTTCATTATAATTGATTCTAATTGATCTTCTCCATGATCTTCTTCTCAGGGCAGTGATCCAATGGTCAAAGATAGCAAGAAGTGCATTATCAGAGATTTGGTTCAGCTTTGGGAACGGATTGATTCCTTTGCTGTGAAGAGGAACAGACTTCCACTTAAGGCAATGAGAAATGCGAGGTTAGTTCAAAATGTCAATAAATCTATTGTTTCTAATCCTAAGCTTAAAAGCTATGAGAATCATAAAGAGACTATTGAGGAATTAAGGAACAGAGTTGAAAAGATTTGTGAGCAGATTTTTGAGAATGATGGGAAAGAACTGAATCTTAAAAGGTTTCACCATGTTGGTGACGTTGATGAGGGGAAGGAGGAGGAGTCCCCTAGAACAATTATCAAAGATAACAATCAAACTCAAAATGGGAAGCTTGCAAAAGGGCAACATATTGGAGCTAGAGTGAAGAAAAGTGTTGGATTTGCTGAGAATGGAAATATCTGTAGGGTTTTAGGCAGCAACAGTCCACATGAAGAAGATTATGGTGTTTTGGATGAAGAAAGGGATTCAAGTGATGAGCTTGTGGAGATTAAGGAGTTTTCTGAGGTAGCTGAGGAAGATGGTGATAATGAAGAAGCACATGGAGGAGATGGTGGATCTCCAGAGGTCAGTGATGGAGAAAGAAACCGTCGAAGGACGATGACCAGTGGCCATGGAGGTGTTGCATTCTCTGCTCCCTTGCCATTGAAGATGGAGAATAAAGCGGAGGTTATGAAGAACAGAAAGTGTGTGAAAATTCTGGGATGAGTATGTAGTTTCTAACCAACTGCTAGTTTTCTTTTTGGATTTGGAAATCTCTATTGGGTATGGCATCTGGTTTGTTCTCATTGTTTGAAGAAGGTTTGATCTTGTAGTTGATGCTTCTGGAGTTTGTAACACCTTCCTGGATATATACAACCAATTTTTATGAATTAACATAATATTTATGAATTTTCTTCAACATGTCGTAAGTGTGTGATTATTGGGTGAGAATCGTTCATCAATTTTGGGCTATACACAACTGGAATCAGTTCGTTCTTGCTCATTGTGGTCATTGAAAAGATCCCACAAAACAAAGATTCATTTTGCAGCAATCCCGGAAGAACAGATTTCGGGTCTGAATATGGTCTTAGTTGCTGAGAAATCTGGTATTATTAGTTCTTCATGCAGGGATATCGCCTAGGTTCAGTATATTTTGGGATATAGCGGAAATGCATACAATACTGAACACCTCATGTGAGGTCCCACATCGGTGGGAGAGGGGAACAAAACATTCTTTATAAGGGTGTGGAAACCTCTCCCTAACTGACACGTTTTAAAAACCTTGAGTGGAAGCTTGAAAGGAAAAATCTAAAGAAGACAATATTTGCTAGCGGTGGACTTGGGCCATTACAAATGGATTATGAGATCCCATGTCGGTTGAAGAAGGGAACAAAGCATTTTTTATAAGGGTGTGGAAACCTCTCACACGTTTTAAAAACCTCAAGGGGAAGTCTAAAAGGAAAAGTTCAAAGATGACAATATCTGCTAGTCCGGCTTGGGCTGTTACATCTTACCACATAGCTGTTATGTATCGAGGCGCAAACGACGTTAGATCCCTCGGTGAGTGTTTTTCCATATGGTTGGTCACCTTCATCTTTTACTTTTCTTCTTAGTGTACCACATTTGTGCTTTATATTGATAATATATGATGACTTTGAGGACAAAGTCCGGGAGATTGATAGGCTACTCTGGTTTAATAAGAAGTGGAGCCTTCGATACTCTAATTATTAATGATCAGTGTTGACATTACCTTCATTACTCCAAAGTAATTAGATTTTATCGGTCTTACATCATCTATTTCGTAAACAAAAGAAAGTTCAAATCAATTTCTCTCCACAAAACTAATTGAAGAGGCATACCCCACATTGACATTGATTTGGTTGGACCCTCATCCCATTCGTCTTTTCTTCAACATTATCTTACTGTAATTGAAATGATGAATTCAATACCTATGCGTTGATTAATGCCAATTAATTGCATTAAATAAGCAATTGATTGGCCGTTCAAAGTTCTAGTGGAGAAATCTAAATGGCTTATCTAGGGTGTGTTGTGTGTGGTCGATTGCTTTTATGCTCTCTTTCGATAATTTTTATGTCTCGTTCTCAATGCGGGATTAGAGACTAGGCATACCTCTTCTGTCCAATAACTACACGAATTCGAACTAGCTGATTCACTTGGCAGTGAAAGTGAGTGTCTTATAATCACCTACAAACATTTCGAGAAAAATTTTAGTTTTATTCAGCATTTTAGGAATCTTTTTGTTTATCAGTTCATAAGCCGTCTCCGGCGTGTATATTAAATGAGAATATCTGGTTCGCATCCTTTTTCATCTCTGAAAATCTCTTCTTCTCGCATCTATCACTCAATGTGATGCTTCTATTACCGGCATGAATGATTTGGGTTTGGGGTTTTGACCTTCTGAGATGTGAGTTTATGTGGGGAAAAGTCAATTTCTTGCATTGTTTAGGTAATAGGTACTGTATATTTTTTCTATGATAAAGAACTGTGGCCTTTTCTACTTCCTCGGAGCTGTTTAAATTAGGCGTAAATATTACGATTGGGTAATCCATTTTAATCATGGGCACATCAAGAAATCAACTTTTAAGAATGGAGTCATTGACCCCAGATTTAGAAGACTTTGATAACTCTGGAGGAGCTTCATCTCTGAGTTCTTCTTTGATCTTCTTTGCGAGAGAGCATCGGGGTTTTCTTCACTTCCAATCTCTGAATCAAGGTTAATCAATTTCTATGGGTGTTTTCTGAATCAATTTCATTTTGCGATTCCGCAAATTCCCCTCTCTTAAAATCAGTGTTCATAGAGGATTGATTGATTGATTGATTGAATTTCGTTTTCTGGGTTTCTCTGTTTTTGCAGAATCCAAATTTTCCGTGATTGATTGAAGAGGCGAGCCAATATGGGTGGAGTGGAAGATCAATTGGATATCAAGTTTCGATTGAACGATGGGTCTGATATCGGTCCCAAAACCTTCCCTGCTGCCACAACCATAGCAACCTTGAAACAAAGCATTCTTGCTCAATGGCCAAGAGGTGTGCGAAATTTGAACATCTTTTCCTTTACTTGAATTCCCATCCTACGCTGATGTTGTATTTGGTTGAGCAGGAAAGGAGAACGGTCCAAGAACAGTAAAGGATGTGCAGCTAATAAGTGCAGGAAAAATCTTAGAGAATAACAGAACAGTGAATGATTGCAGAAGCCAATTATATGACATTCCTGGTAGTGTTACAACCATGCACGTTGTTATCCAACCTCCAAGTTTGGAGAAAGGTATGATCTGTTCTATAGAATCAATATTGCACTTTGATTGCTTGACAAAGATAGAACTTGAAACCATTCAGCACTGTTTTGTTTGGCTGAGCAGAGAAGAAAGGTAGCGACCCATCAACACAAAACAAGTGTGTTTGTGCTATACTATAAAGATGGGGAAGAGGAGGATGGGGTATTTATGGAGATAAGCCAGTTTGTAGAACAGATCTATTATGAATAGCTTCATTTGTTGTTTAAATTGATTTTGTGGAACCCTTCTGCAATCTCAGATGTTTGTGGTGAAAGGTTTTATATACTTAAAAGTTGCAGTTAGAAATGGTATTAGAGTGACGTCGAGTGGTGTGCCAGTGAGGACGCTAAGCTCCAAAGCGGGTAGACACCAGACAGTGTGTTAGTGAGGACGCTAAGCTCCAAAGAGGGTAGACACCAGACAGTGTGTCAGTGAGGACACTAGACCTTAAAGTGGTGGATTGTGAGATCACACGTCGTTGGGAGAGGAGAATGAAATATTCTTAATAAGGGTGTGGAAACCTCTCCCTAACATACACATTTCAAAATCTTGAGAGGCAGTGTGTCAGTGAGGACACTGGGCCTTGAAGGGGTGGATTGTGTGTCAGTGAGGACACTGGGCTTGAAGGGGTGGATTGTGAGATCACATGTCGGTTGGAGAGGAGAATGAAATATTCTTAATAAGGGTGTGGAAACCTCTCCCTAATATACACATTTCAAAATCTTGAGAGGCAGTGTGTCAGTGAGGACACTGGGCCTTGAAGGGGTGGATTGTGTGTCAGTGAGGACACTGGGCTTGAAGGGGTGGATTGTGAGATCACATGTCGGTTGGAGAGGAGAATGAAATATTCTTAATAAGGGTGTGGAAACCTCTCCCTAACATACACATTTCAAAATCTTGAGAGGCAGTGTGTCAGTGAGGACACTGGGCCTTGAAGGGGTGGATTGTGTGTCAGTGAGGACACTGGGCTTGAAGGGGTGGATTGTGAGATCACATGTCGGTTGGAGAGGAGAATGAAATATTCTTAATAAGGGTGTGGAAACCTCTCCCTAATATACACATTTCAAAATCTTGAGAGGCAGTGTGTCAGTGAGGACACTGGGCCTTGAAGGGGTGGATTGTGTGTCAGTGAGGACACTGGGCTTGAAGGGGTGGATTGTGAGATCACATGTCGGTTGGAGAGGAGAATGAAATATTCTTAATAAGGGTGTGGAAACCTCTCCCTAACATACACATTTCAAAATCTTGAGAGGCAGTGTGTCAATGAGGACACTGGGCCTTAAAAGGGTGGATTGTGAAATCACACGTCGGTTGGAGAAGAGAATGAAATATTCTTAATAAGGGTGTGGAAACCTCTCCCTATTTTACACATTTCAAAATCTTGAAAAGAAGATCAAAAGAAAAAACCTAAAGAGAACAAAATGTATAAAACAAAATGGAGACGTCCAGTAGTATCAGCCTTCAAGAGGGCCAAAGACATTCAGTCCTCACACACGGCCCAAACATCTCACTTTTCGAACATAGTGTATCACGGTTATGTTTGTCATAAACGTATTGATTGTGGTTGCGTGTCGGATGTTTCTATCATGTTTGTCGAGGTGTTTTGCCACAGTTTCATGCTCGTATTCTATAAATCATTTTATTTCAAAAGTGATTCAAGGCTCGATCACACGACTAAATTATCTATAAAATTTGATTTTCCCCATTTTTATATTACCCACCCTCCCATTTAAGAAGATGGAGAAGTAAAGGGCCCAGAGGCCCACATCAAATCCAATTACAGATGGACCCAAGCAGCCACAGCCCAATAACAAGCTTTAATTGCATCTTTCAATGGGCCCTTCTCCTACCCTACCCATCAGGCCCAACCAGATCCAGATTCCTATATGCAAATGGTGCAATTGGATATGACATGACACGTGGCTAGATTTCAGCATGCCAAGTCACTCATTTTAAGGCTTGTGGATTGGCCAAACCTTTAATGACGTGGCCTTTTGATAGCCAAGTCACTCCTTTTAATTTGATAGGATAAGTCACATTTTCTGAATGAGTAGCTTAAATTTTCTCGATACCGTCCATGTTTACAAATCCAATTATATTAAATAAAAACAAATTTTCAACCGCCAATTAGTTGTTTGTTAATAATATTTAATAAATATATTTTTGGATGCAACTTAATTATAAATTCTAACGGATTACCGTTAAATTCAGAAAAATAAAATAAAAATTTTTTTTTTCTTCCCATTATGCAGTTAATAAAAACTTGTGTAATAACAGTTTCAGTCTCTTATTTTTTAAATTTAATAAAACATGGGTTTATTTCAATACTAAAAAAAACACATTTTAAAAATCAAAATCATATATTTCTTCATTTATTTATAAATAAATAAATTTATTATATTTATTTATGAATTTTAAATCCAATTAATTTCGAGAATAATAGAGGCCACGTGGGTTTATAAAAAAAAGAAAAAAAGAAAAAAGGAAAACAGTTGAATTCATGGGGTGCAAGTCTAATCCAACAACAACCCAGACCTGGAAAATTAGAGCTTGGTGGTGGTGGTGGTGGTGGTAGGTACCAGTAAAGCGAGTTAGGTGAAGGTAAACGATCATCAAAATTGGAGGACTTACTTGACCAATGGCGGTTCTTGGCTTGGCCATGGAATCCTGCATCACCCACTGACCCCACTCCCTCCCTCCGCACCACCATCAACAAACCGCATTCCATACCTTTTTCATGCCCTTCCTTCTCACCTCCCACTTCCATTTCCTCCCTTAATAAACCCCTTCTTCTTCCTTCTCTCCCTCTCTAGATTCCCTTTTCATTTTCTGTTTCCCTCTTAAAATGGAGGCTAAGCTGCTTTTTACTTCCTTCCCTGCAACCTCTGCGGCTCGTCTCTCCAAGCTCTCCACACCCACCTGCGTTTTTGCCTCCTATGGTGGGAAGAATCGTAGGTTTTTGCCTCTCCATTCGAGTTTGCCTCATGGAGCTGCCCTTCGTTCTGTTCAAGCCTCTGTGGCGTCTGCTGGGTATCTTACTCTTCTTCGTTTTACCTCTCTTTTCATTTGCTTTCCTTATGGCTTTACTGGGTGAACTCTGATTTTACAATCTTCTTGATTATTATTATTTCATTTCAACTGATGGGCCTCTGTATACACTTTCTTTCAACTCGATTAGATTCTTATATAGTGAACTTTTGAGTTTGATGTTAAATTATAGAGGTAGATCAGTTTCTGTGATTAGATCCTTTCCAAATTGCTGTTGAGTTCATTGCATATAAAAACATGGTGTTTGCTGCTAGAATTCAAGCATGTTTCTGGTAGAATAAGCTGCAAATTTAGAGGGTTTGTTTATGATATCGTAGACCATCACCAAAATCAAGGGTGGACATCAGTGAGAACTTGACCTTAGAGGCAATAAGATCCTCATTAATCTCTCAGGAGGACAGCATTATCTTTAGTCTTTTAGGGAGAGCTCAGTACTGTTATAATGGTGATACATACGACCCCAATACTTTCTCCATGGATGGCTTCAGTGGCTCTTTAGTGGAGTTCTTGGTCATGGAAACTGAAAAGCTGCATGCCCAGGTACTTCCAACATTCTAAATGGATGAACAAAAAGAGTTAAGGTTAATGTTTTATGTGTTATGGAAACATTTTTTGCTCATTAGGTGGGAAGATACAAGAGCCCTGATGAACATCCTTTCTTCCCCAACGACCTACCTGCTCCATTGTTGCCTCCGCTTCAGTATCCACAGGTGAGTATTAACCTCCATGACTTCTCAAGTCCTTAAAAATGTGTTAGAACATCATTTCCAACATCCCTCGAGCTAAAACAGCTGTCACAGCCTAAGTCCACCGCTAACATATATTGTTCTCTTTGAGTTTTTTCTTTCGAGTTTTCCCTCAAGGTTTTTAAAACGCGTCTGCTAGAGCAAGGTTTCTATGCCCTTACAAAGAATGCTTCGTTCTCCATTTCAGCTATCCCAAGAGAGAACTTCACTCTTGGAACTAGAAAACTAGGTGGATGGTTCAAATATATGATGTTTCTATGAACTATCATCTATCCAAGCCAAATATCTCGTCCTACCGATCAATCCGTCGTGCTTGCTTGTGTGTATGAGTGAATAGTGTAACGAATAACGTAGTTTGTCACCGATTTTGATGGAAAATAGGTACTACATCCTCCCGCAGATTCCATTAATATAAACAGCAAAGTATGGAGCATGTACTTCAGGGATCTGATACCAAGATTAGTGAAGGAAGGAGACGATAGCAATTATGGATCTACTGCTGTTTGTGACACCATTTGCTTGCAGGTCTGCATCCATGACTATCTCAACCATGCACACTGACTTTCTATGACCATTAGACAATCATGAGCAACCCCATCTACATTAACACGACCAAATTTCCCATGTCGTATGTTCCAATCATTGCAGGCTCTATCAAAGAGAATCCATTATGGAAAGTTCGTAGCAGAAGCAAAGTTTCGAGAATCGCCCGATGCATACGAGGCTGCAATAAGGAAGCAAGTAATGTTTCTTCTATTACAATACACCATTGCTTGATTCCTGCGTGTAATTTGCCTCGTTCTACATAATTACGGTGCTGAGTTTTGAAGGACAAAGAGAAACTGATGGAGATGCTGACGTTCCCGATCGTCGAGGAGGCGGTAAAAAGGAGAGTCGAAACGAAAGCGAAAACATTCGGGCAAGAGGTTCCTGTTAACATAGAGGAAACACATGCTGCTCCAGTTTACAAAATAGAACCCAGTTTGGTTGCTGAATTGTATGGAGAATGGATCATGCCATTAACAAAGGAAGTTCAAGTTCAATACTTGTTGAGAAGATTAGATTGATTTGCAGTTAATCTTCAGACTCGATGCTTTAAGAAGCTTAATAATAGATGAAGTTGGAAGTTTTCTTATAATTCTTTGCATATATATTTAATAACAAATCTAATAATTCTATGAACGTTTGTTTGTTTATAAATATATTAATTAATTAAGAGTATTTCACAAATTTCCACGTGGACAGATTGTTATGGATTTTATTCTCTTGAATGTCTTAAATTTTATTATTAGGCGACCATTATGTGACATAAAAAATTGCCAGCTTGGATCATAGTTGAGCCCACGTATTGTACACGTGTTATTTTTCTCAACCATATAATTATTTATTAATAAATGATGAATATTAAATAAAAAATTGAAATATTTTTGTAATTTCATCTATTTGAAAGGGTAAAATTGTAGGCGAGAAAGATTAGGGCAAAAGAAGAAGAAAAGTCAAATAAGATTTCATTTTGGAGTACGGAAACATCAGGTTGTTTTTGGAAATTGGGACCCACTTTTTTTTTTCTTTTTTTTTTTTTATCATTTTATATTTAAATTTAAATATGTCTTTGCTAACGTACACGACACGTAGTCCCGCAGGTGAATTCACATGTCTGTGTGTCGTAATCCAAATTCATAGCGTACGCTAAAATGCACTAAAAATATGATGTCCTATGGTTGGGGAGGAGAACAAATTATCCTTTATGTGCGAAAAACTTTTCTTAGTAAACGCGTTTTAAAGCTTTGAAAGAGAAAGTCCAAAGAGGACAATATCTGCTAGCAGTGGATCTGGGGCGTTACAAATGGTATCAGAGCCAGACACTGAACGATGTGCTAGCCTTCTCGCTATTCCCCGAAGGGAGTAGACACGGGGCGGTGTGCTAGTAAGAACACTTGGCCTTAAAGGGGGTGGATTTGGTGGTGGTCCCACGTCTCTTGGAGAAAGGAATGAGTGCCAGCGAGGACGCTAGGCCTCGAAGGGGGTGGATTGTGGTAGACACGAGGCAGTGTGCCAGTAAGGACGATGGGCCTCAAATGAGGTCCTTGAAAAGGGGTAGACACGAGGCGGTGTGCCAGTAAGAACGTTGGGCCTCAAAGGAGGTCTCCGAAAAGGGGTAGACACGAGACGGTGTGCCAGTAAGAATGCTGAGCCTCAAAGGGGGTCCCTTAGCAAACACGTTTTAAAGCCTTGAGGAGAAGCCCGAAAGGGAAAGTCCAAAGAGGAGAGCAGACGAGTTTTAAAGTTTTGGGGGAAAATTCGAAAGAAAAAGTCTAAAGAAGAGGATAATATCTGCTCGGATGAAGTTTTATAGCTTGTTCAATGGAGTGGGTGTTGAAGAACAAGAAAAGTGATAGATCCCAACAAAGTCAAACGTGGTGTACAATGAGTAAAAATATTTTAAGAAGGTAAGAATTAAGGGGGGGGGTTGAGATAAAGATGGCAACAAATGTTCCCAATCCTCAAATCCCCAAATTGGGAGCACTTTTGTAAGAAACAGAGAAATTCAGAGACTGAGGAGGAGCTGAACCAAAAAAGAAACACAAGCACAGCTTCATCAATGGCTAAGAACAAGGACGACCACTCTGCCAGACCTCCACCCCGCCCGACTATCACTCTGCCACCACGTCCTTCCATGGAGGCCTTTTTTGCTGGTGGACCCACTGGGCTTAGCCCTGGCCCTATGACTCTCGTCTCTAGTTTCTTCGCCGACGCTGCCGTTGACTCGCCGTCTTTCTCCCAGCTTCTCGCCGGAGCCATGGCCTCTCCGATAGCTATGGGGTTTTTGGGAACTGGGTCTACGCCCAATTCGGAATCGGAATTTGGGTTGAAGCAATCGAAGCCGATGAATTTAGTCGTGGCTCGGTCTCCTTTGTTCTCGGTCCCGCCGGGGCTTAGCCCTTCTGGGTTGCTTAATTCGCCGGGGTTTTATCCTCCCCAGGTAAAATTGGAACTACCCATTTGATTCATGGATGGCTTCTTGTATTCTGCTGCTCTCAGATTTCCTTTTCTTCTGCGTTGAATTTTTTTTGTGGTGTTTTTAGGTCTTGAGTTGAGAACTTTCTTTTATCTGTTCATGATTTTGATGGTGAAATCTGGTTGTTGGTGATGTTGAACATGTTTGGATAGCATTTGAGAGTTTGAACAAAACAAACGTTATCTATGGAAACTTGAAGTTTATGTTTGTTTAATATTTGTTCTTTCAAGGTTATGTTTATGTACTCATCAAATTTCCAATTGATTTGTTGATTAAATTCTTCGTAGAGTCCGTTCGGGATGTCACACCAGCAGGCATTGGCTCAGGTGACTGCTCAAGCGGCATTGGCGCACTCTCATATGCATATGCAGCAAGCTGAATATCAACATTCCTCAATACCAGTTTCTACCGAACCGTTGATACGCGATCCATCGTTTACTCTTGATGAAGCATCTCTGCAGTTAATATTACCCTCCACGTCCGATACGAAAAGTCTCGTTCCAGAATCGACAGAAGTCTCTCATCCTGATAGAAAGTATCAACCTCCTCCTCCACATGCTGCCTCTGATAAACCTGCAGATGATGGCTATAACTGGCGTAAATATGGACAGAAGTTGGTTAAGGGCAGTGAATATCCACGAAGCTATTACAAATGCACTCATTTGAATTGCCCCGTAAAGAAGAAGATCGAACGCTCACCTGATGGACAAATTACTGAAATTATTTACAAAGGCCAGCACAACCATGAACGTCCTCCAGCCAACAAACGCGCTCGAGATAATAGCGAACCGACTGGATGTACAAATTCTTCGACGAAGCTTGAATGTGGTTTGCAAAATCAAGCGGGAATTTTGAACAAGTCGAGTGAAAATGTGCAAGTAGGATCTAGTGACAGTGAAGAACAAGGTGATACAGAGATAACGGATGACAGAGATGAAGATGAGCCAAATCCAAAGAGGCAGTATGTGTATTATTTTACTGTGTATCTATCTTGCTTTGGCTATTGGGATAAAAAAACAACGAAAAACTGAGCCTTTTGTGGCTTTTGTTCATGAGTGCAGGAACATTGAAGCAGGGACATCTGGGGTTGCCTTGTCTCACAAGACACTCACAGAACCAAAAATCATTGTTCAAACAAGAAGTGAGGTTGACCTGTTAGATGATGGTTATAGGTGGCGCAAGTATGGGCAGAAAGTGGTTAAAGGAAATCCTAATCCGAGGTAGTTACTTCAAATTCTGTTTGTCCTAGTATTTTTTCAGATTATCCGTAGTACCTCGGCGGTATCTGCAAGCGTAAGCTTAGGCTTCGCCATATCATTACCCTGGAAATCGTTGTCATTCCCTATGATAAGCTTGCTTTCTTTTCTTTCTGAACTTTCAAGATTTTTACATGATGTTCTTGAAGGTCATAACTCATAAGAGGATCCATGGGACATCATTTTCCTATGACTTCTCTTTTTTTAATCTACTGGAATGGCCTGTAGTTGCGTGAAATCTCATATCGATTGGAGAGGGGAACGAAACATCCCTTATAAAGGTGTGGTAACCTCTCCTTAGTAGACACGTTTTATTAAAATCTTGAGAAGGGTGTGGAAACCTCTCCTTAGTAGACACGTTTTAAAATCTTGAGGGAAAGCCCAAAGAGGACAATATTTGCTGGCAGTGGGCTTGGACTGTTACAAATGGTATCAGAACCAGACACTGAGTGGTGTGCCAACGAGGACGTTGGACCTCTGAGGAGAATGGATTGTGAGATCCCACATTGGTTGGAGAGGGATTTCAAGCATTCCTTATAAGGGTGTGGAAACATCTCCCTAAGTGATGCGTTTTAAAACCTTGAGGGGAAGCTGTTGAAGGGAAATTTCAAAGAGAACAATATTTACCAGCAGTGGGCTTGAACTGTTACAAGTTGACTTCAATAACATGCACCGAGTTTGTATGTCGGACAGATACTTTGTTGTCAATTTGATAACGGAAATGTTCAACCTAACAGTTGATAATGGAAATGTTCGGATTTTATGTAGTCCTGTGTACTCGAAAGTGCAGTATACCACGGAATGATAAGAACTTTCCAGTTGATTTTAACTCTCCCTGGTGATTTTGTTGCTAAGATAGATAGAATTTAGGATCGACATTTGATTTGTGGTTTTGATCACTTCTTATAACCTGTGAACAGGAGCTACTACAAATGCACTAGTGCTGGGTGCAACGTCCGAAAGCATGTCGAGAGGTCTTCAACGGACTCGAAAGCTGTCGTAACTACGTACGAAGGGAAACATAACCATGATGTTCCAGCAGCTAGAAACAGCAGCCACCACACAGTCAACAATACCGTGCACCAGATCAAACCACATAAAGTTGTAGCTCAGAAACATCCATTACTCAAAGAGTTGGAATTTGGAAGTAATGAGCAGAGACGTGCCGTTTTGCGGCTGAAAGAAGAGAAAATCACCGTGTAAAGTGCTACAACAATACCTTCCATGGGAACAGGAGGTCAGTAGTTGATTTCAAGTGTATGCGTATGAGGCAAAAGAGCTCCATTTGCCTAATGTTCCTCTAATCCTGATGCCAAAGGAGATGCAGGGAGGTCAGTCATGTTGATATTATGATCGCAAATAATGTTATTACTTGTGTCTCTCTGCTTCCTGAGGCCATTTCACCGCTGCAGTTGAGTTGAAGGGTCTAAACAGCATCCGACAAGGTACAGGAAGTGGGGTAACCTTCTCTGTCATTTTAGAAGCCTGCTGTGTAGTGTGACTTGCAAAATTCAAACTAGACATTGTTATGTACTGTAAAATTTCATTGTTTTGTTATGTAGTTCATCAGTTTATACCAAAATATGAACTGTACAAATTGTAGTTGTGTGTATAAAGTTGATAATCTTTATATTGTTTGGTTGAAGATGGGCTGTGGATACAGTTTCATTGGGAAGTTGCTATGTACTTCTCTGCATTTGGTTGTGAAAAACAATGAAAAGGTTGGATTTGAAGTGGACCCTTTTGGCATTTTGCTTCTACCTTTATGTTTCATCATCTATTGAAGAAGTGGTTTGACTGTTCCGGTGAGAACCCACTTCAACGAGAGAGAGGAAAGAGTGCCAACGAAGTAGTTGGGTTTCGAAAGAAGGTGTATTGAACGAAACATTCTTTAGAAAGGTGTGTAAACCTCTCCCTAACATATATGTTTTAAAAACATTGAGAACAACTTCAAAAGAGAAAGCCCAAAAGGACAATATATGTTAGCATGGCCTCAGATGGTTACAATTCTACTTTGGATATTTTAATGGAGCTAACATTTAACATTGAGTTTGCTTAAGTTTGCTTATTGTGAACCAACTTGGACGTTTTAAAATTTAACTTGAGAGACACAAAGTTAATAGTTGTTGTTTTGGTCCAAACAATTTTGGATCCAATATGATGCGAGGAGACAAGGATACATGTAGAGATCTTATGAATGGTTGTGTAGTGTATGCAATCCTAAGTATGTTTAATTTGGTTGAAACAATGATTGAGATGGTTCTCCGACATGAGTTGATATGATAACCACTCAAGTTACACGTTTGATAAGTAAAAAGGTGAAATCCAATGAGAAAAGAATTAGAAAGTGAAGAAGATGGTTAAAAGAATGAGTGAAAGAGGTAGAAGGAGGAAAAGGAAGAAAGGAAAAGAGAGAAAGTGCAGAGCTGTAATAGCGGAGTGAGTGAAATAAGGCTAAGGCAAAGGGAAAGCAACAGAAAATAGAAAGAAAACCACAAGGGGAAGAAGCAGGCAGTTAGGAGCCACGAATGTTTCTCTTTCTCTCTTCCACTGCTTTCGGGCCGTTTCCCACAAAAACAACACAGACTATTTCGTCAATTCTTCCGAACATAACGCAGTCCCAGAGGAGGAACACAGGGTCATTGGAGTGCCAACAACTTAACCCAAAAATGGCTCCCAATTCTCATGGGTTCAAGCCATTTTCCCTTCTTCTTTTCTTCCGCCCCCAGATAATGCAGACCCTTTTCAGCTCTTGGCTGTAGGGGTCCACTTCCCCTCCCTCCCTTGCTCAGCCCATTTCCCGATCGGGGTCGATCGCCCTTGTGTCGCTCCTCTGATCGATGCTGTCGGGATTTGGAGGTTCATGGGTTGCATTAGCTCCAAGCAGGTAGCTAAGGCGGCGGCGTCTCCCGTTTACAACCACCGCCCCACCAAAACCGCCACCGCCACCGCCACCGCCAAGAATGGCTCTGCTGCGACCATGGATCGTTCGTCCAAAACTCATTCCGTGACGACGCTCGAACATGAGAAGAAAGGAGAGGAGAAGCCGGAGGATCGAGGTCGAGACCTCAAAAAATCCAAGAAAGGGAGTTCCCAAGGGGAGAACGGTACTCTCAGATCAGGGCCATCTCAACGCTACGTCGAAGCCGAGCAGGTTGCCGCCGGCTGGCCCTCCTGGCTCAGTAGTGCCGCCGGCGAGGCCATTCAGGGATGGGTGCCTCTCCGAGCTGATTCCTTCGAGAAGTTGGAAAAGGTTAGCATTCTTCATTTTTGTCGCTCCTCTTTGTTTGTCCTTACGAAACAATACACAAATCAGCACTACTGCATTTTGTCTCATTCATAATTGAAACATATCTATCATGATTTCGTACGACCCATGGATTTATAAATGGGGAGGGCAATTCCCAGATGACATCCTAAAGAGGGTCATTTATAATTTTGCCTCAAAAGTCCTACCATTGATGCGGACACCAAAATGATCCATCATCATTTACGATTCTGTTCTTCCTATGTTCCGGAGGTCTCGGTTTAACCGACCACGATGCAATGATCTGTTTAATGCATCTTCTTGCATGTTCTACATGTTCTTTGCATTCACTCCAAAGTACCCAGAAAAGATCAAGAGTTTGTTTTTTAATTAGATTGGACAAGGTACATACAGCAGCGTGTTCCGAGCTCGAGAAGTTGAGACAGGAAGGATGGTTGCGTTGAAGAAGGTTCGTTTCGACAATTTTCAACCTGAGAGCATTAGGTTCATGGCACGAGAAATTATGATTTTGCGCAGGCTTGATCACCCAAACATCATGCAATTAGAAGGCCTGATTACTTCCAAAATGTCTAGCAGCATTTACCTTGTATTCGAATACATGGAACATGATCTTGCAGGGCTAGTGTCTTGTCCTGATATCGAGTTCAGTGAGGCACAGGTTGGTATTTGGTCTACTGATTTACTTGCACTAGCAATAGCATTTGCTCTAATAAGAAAAGAAATAACGTTCCCATTTCATCTTCCCTTGGGGCTTTCTTTTTTCAGGTAAAGTGTTACATGAGACAGCTTCTATCTGCAATTGAGCATTGCCACCTTCGGGGTATAATGCATAGGGACATCAAAGCATCCAATATTTTGGTAAACAATGAAGGAATTCTAAAGTTGGCAGATTTTGGATTGGCAAATATCATTAGCTCTAGAAACAAGCAATCACTAACAAGTCGAGTGGTGACATTATGGTATCGACCTCCCGAGCTTCTGATGGGTTCGACAGATTATGGATTAACGGTGGACCTTTGGAGCATAGGATGTGTATTTGCAGAATTGCACCTGGGGAAACCCCTTCTTAAAGGAAGAACAGAGGTAATGGATGGCTTGGTCCTTTTGGTTGTTGCTCAGTGTTTGTTGATCTGACATGAATGGAACTCTACTACAAAACAGGTTGAACAATTGCACAAAATATTCAAACTTTGCGGCTCCCCACCTGAAGAGTTCTGGAAAAAAACAAAGCTGCCTCATGCAGCTATGTTTAGACCCCAACATCCATATGAAAGTTCCCTTAACGAAAAGTGCAAAGATTTTGCACCATCCGCAGTGAGCCTATTGGAAACTCTTCTCGCCATCGACCCTCCTAAGCGGGGTACCGCCTCGTCTGCTCTCATGTCTGAGGTAACCTCTTGCCCCTGCATTCATATTCAACCTTACAAATATCAGTGTCATGTCACAGTTTAAAACTTACGTTCGTCTTCCTTACCAGTATTTCAAAACGAAGCCATACGCTTGCGATCCATCGACATTGCCCAAGTATCCTCCAAACAAAGAAATGGATGCCAAAAATCGTGAAGATGCGCTAAGGTGAAGCTTTCACTCTGTCTCACTGACTTGACTCCAAAATAAATCCAGTATCTTCAATATATTCTGAAGAACTATACCTATGGAAACTTGCAGGATGCGAGCTAATGCAAAAGCAAAAGAAACAGGGGCAACACAAAGGCCTAAAAAAGTCCGAAGAAATGTCCCAGAATTCAACAGCCATAAAGTACCAATAAAAGAGGTTTCTCCTTCCTTACCATTCCTCCCTTCCCACATTACTTTAAATTCTTACATTACTCCCTCCTTTTCCAACGTTTGTGGAGATTTTTCCTCCCAGGAAGCAGAAGAAAACAGTCAACCTTCTCGACGGAACAATGGCAGTAATTCTGCCAATCTTTCCAATGAACAAGGCGACGTTTTCCAGAGAGAGCCGCATAAGCCACTATATGATGCAACATCAATGACTTCCCAGGCCGCGACTGCACCTCAAAGAGGAGATAGCGCATTCACAGCCCCAATACCCGTCTCATCATCTAGTGGCTTTGCTTGGGTAAAGAAGCGAAAAGAGGAAGCTACGTCTACAATATCAGATGGTCTTAAGAGCCAAATAAGTGCTCTGGATCCATCTTTTGCCAATTTTACCTTAGAATCAACAAAAAAACAGATTGGCCATGCGGACATTCCAGCCAATTCAAGCGCGCAGGATAATGATATTCGAAAGCAGCAAAGGAAAAAATATGATTTCACCGAGCCTTTTGAAGCATCCGAAGCATACCCATTAATCTTGGATATGTCCAATGAACTCTATCCGGAACAACAACCAAACGCCACAACCAATCCGGTAAATGAACAGGATAGCGATGATACGAAATCACACGTTGAAATCCCAGGACCTCTGTCAACACAACCCCATAGAATAGATGAAGTCCTGCAAATAAATGAAAGCCACATCCGACGAGTGGCTCGAAAATCCAGGTTCGAAAGAGGTAATTAGGGGGAATACTGATTCCAACCCTCTACAAAGAACTATTCTTTTCATCTGTCTTATCAATCAACAATTGAAAACGCTTCTGTTCTTGTTTCCAGATGAATGATGCGTGCATTATCCGGTGCAATAGTCAGATGATAGACGTACATAAAAACCATTCTTAGCAGCAGCAGTTCCAAAACCTGCGTCCACACGGAGCCCAGATTGGTGTTTTGCAACCCGACACCAAAAACAAGCGCGAGGAAGCAGGAAAGAAGAAGCTTCTACAAGTATACATACATTTATTTGAGATATTCAATCAAGTTCAATGAAAATACCGGCGAATGCAATTGATCAATTTTCGGAAACGTGATTTTAACTTTCCTGCATCCTTCGTATCATTTGAATGAAACCCGAAAACATATACATGTATAATAACAATTCAAATTTATTCTTCTCCGCCGCTTATTAAAAACAAATATACATTTAACAGAGAAAGAAGCAATAAAATTTGGAAATGCATATATCTAAAAAATCCACGTTAAGTCTCAGATGAATCAGGAAAGCGAAATTTGTAAGAATGAAGTTCGAAAAAGAAAAGAAAAATCCAAAGCAAATGAATTGAATGTAGGGCGAAACCCCTCGCTTTGACTGCGAAAGCTAGGGCAGCAAAGCGGCCATGGAAGCCCCCACCAGAAGGTGATAATGTAAGCCCAACGCACTGAGAGTGCGCCACAATTTCAAAAACCTCTCCCTGTGGAATACCACGCCACCCCTAACTCAAGAGGGAAGCGCTCGGCCTCGGGCTTCTTTCTTCTAAGCCGTCTTCGTCTTCTTCATTTATTGGCAACCTCCAAAAACCCTAATCCACATAATTCCATTTCTGCCCTTTACCTTTTCTCTAATTTACTTATTAGTCCTCGTCCCGATTTTTCTTTTATATTTAAAAAAACTTTAAAACTCATTCCACATTTATTCTATAATATATAATAGGTAGAATTATTGTAATTGGAGATAAATAGTAAAAATATAACTTAATCAATATTAATTAATCATATATAATTATTTTTAAATAATTATTCATAAATTTTAATTAACAGTTTTATATTATATTAACTATTTAATATAAAATTTAAATATTAAATATTAATATTCTAATTAATTTATACTTATTTTAATGATCAATAATTAAAATTATTTAAAATATAATTTTATATTAATGAAAAAAAAACATTAAACAATTATGAAAGTTATTTAATATTTTATACGTAATTACTTAATTTTATTTTTCATACAAAATTGGTATAACAAAATCTTGATTCATGAACACATCCAAATATAAATATTAATTATGTAAATTTATAAATCTAAAATATTTAATATATTTTATATTCATAATTACAAAATAATATTTATCATCTGCCTCCATCTCCAAAAATTGATACAAAAAATTTAATCGAAAGTTTGAATTTTATGCATAGAATCTCTATTATCCTCGCAAAAGTAAATAAAAGATTTCACAAACATGTATAGTAGATGGACTTTACAATTATTGTTCTTATTTTTTATTTTTTATCTGAATTATATTAAAAAAAAGGATAAAAAAGCACAAATTCACATGAACTAGAGAAAGGTTGTTAATGCCTCAACGAGTTGAGCTCCATGCGCATATGAACATGGCGCTCAGATTCGTGGGCTTTTGTTACTATGACGACGAAATAAACATATACAAACAAATGGTTGTAAGCTTGGAACAGGGCATTGAGACATTGCCAGTGAAGGCTTGCTTCTTTGTTGGTAGGTAGAAGCTCTGAGCTGGAAAGAAGAGTGATTCGTTGGACAAAAAATGAAGGATTTTTTGGATTATTTAGTAGGACCAAGGCTCGGTATTTCACTGCGTTGTCTGGCTGCTACTTTCGTTAAGCTGCTCGAGTCACGACATGTCGTACCAAATCGAGGAATGTACCATAGGGTCGGTGACTCGGTATTAGTCTTCTTCACGGGTCGTCACTAATGTGGGTATCTGTCCATGATCCATAAAATCGATCTTGTTCAGCCTCACACAACACAGAACTTTCTCTGGCAATTCTTCTGGTTTTTGTGCCTGTGAACAAAAGAGGAGCGTTTAAGAACATACTATTGCTAGTCTGCCATTGTTTTCGATTTATAATAAAGTGTTCAACTTCAAAGGTATCTTCAATTTTCAATAAGATTCCAGTGATGGTTAACTTTGTCCACCGCTAGCAAATATTGTCAACTTTGACCTATTACGTATCGCCGTTAGCTTCACGATTTTAAAATGCATTTAATCGGAAGAAGTTTTCATACCCTTCTCTAACTGACGTGGGATCTCACAAGAACACTTTGACTCACCAAATGAACATTTATGGCTTCTAAACTTACCCAAGCGCCCCATTTTTACATGAACCGCATATTTGAATCTCAGGTAAAGGATAACTAAAACAGAAAGAAGAAAGAGTGCAATGGTGCCAAATATATACCTGGATGGTTAGACCGAGATCAAGTATTCCATTTTTCAAACGTTCTCGAAATGATTCAAGTCCCTTTCTCGATATGTAGCTGAAACGATGAATGTCTAGATCAATCTCGAAGTAATCTTGGCCCTGCAAGTGTGGAATGTGGTTGGAGTCAGAAATGCTTCTATTTAACCTATAAGAAATATGGAAGCTAAGCATTACATTCTCCCCTTTCCTTTCTTTTATCCTAATCGAACATTTAAGTGCAATATGAGTAGTACACTTGTAAGAGTACAAGCCCACAGCTAGGAGGTCGTTCCCTTCTAGGCTTCTCTAAAAATTTTAAAACGCGTATGCTAGGAAGAGGATTCTACACTTTATAAGGAATGCTTCATTCTTCTCTCCAACCAACGTGGGATCTCACAATCCAGCGTCCTTGCTGGCACACTGCCCGGTGTCTGACTCTGATACCATTTGTAACAGCCCAACCCTACCGCTAGCAGATATTGTCCTCTTCGGGCTTTTCCTTCCGGGCTTCCCCTCGAGGTTTTAAAACACATCCACTACGGAGAGGTTTCCACATTCTTACAAGGAATGCTTCGTTCTCCTCTCCAACCAAGGTGGGATCTCACAACACTCAAGTAAACCGAACATGTGACCTCTATCAAATAAACGAATGGAGCTATCAAAACTTGAAAACTAAAGGTTTCTTCATCCATCGTTCCATTTGATCTAATGTTTCTAAATATATACCTTGTAAAAATTATGTTGAGGGCGTGAAAGGACAGGTTTTTCGTTATAAGCACTAACGAGCTTCCTTTCAGTGGAGCTCAAATGGAGATCCTCTGGATTAACCACCCCTGCCATAATCTTTAGCCTTTCCCTGAATGGAACAGTAGAATCTTTCGTAAATCCTTTGGTTTTTTCCATCTCATCATCAACCAATTTCTGTAGAATAAGCAAAGAACATCTGTGCTGTAAGATATGAAGATTATGAAGATTTAAGCATACTATATTGAATTTGGTGAGTACCTTGATACTCTCCTGATAATGAAGAGAGATCTCCTCATCAAACTTCTCAGAAACTTTGAAATACAAAACAAGACTCATTCCTTCCCCATCACTATCACCCAAGAACATTGCAGCTGGATAAATAGGCAACTGCTACAAAACAAGACTTTTAAATGCCTAAAGAAGCAATAGAAGAACGGAACCAAGAACAAACCCACAGAAAAGTTACCTGAATGTTTAATATGAGTAGTGGAGGCACCTTTGCATCAGATTTTACCAAGGGGAGATCCAGGTGTTGAGCAATGTGATTGATTTTCTTGGAACACATATATAAATCGACGCCAATTGGAACATAAGGACTGATATTCGGAGCAGGGTATTTCTTCTTGTCTCTACATTTAAATAACAAATAAATAAGCACAGACAAAATCCAGGCATGGTCGAGGTTGATATCGAGTAAAAAGAATTGCATACTTGAAGTAGCTTTCACCACGGAGTTTGAACGTTGAGGGCGGAATTTCGGACCAGCTTCCTGGGGGTGGTTTCTCTCCTGAAAAACATGGTATATGTCCAGCTCTTGGATGGTATAGATACTTCTTTGATTGGCCTGTTGCATAACGAAAATTAGACACGTTGTAATTACAAACCTCGTGTGAAGAAACGTATGCACGAGGTCTTCAACTATAGGGCATGTTGATCATGTAATATTCGATACATAATTTCTTAAACTTACATCTTTCTATGGTTTCTTCTCCATCACATGAGCGTCTCTTAAACGAAAGCCTGAAAACGGCCGACTGCTTTTTGTGTCCCTGAGAAGCCTGAGGATTCAGAATCTTCTCATTGAAACTTATAGAAGGAATCATATGTGGAAAGGCAGACTTAATAATAGTCTCTTGATTCTTCTCTACGGAACAATGCCAGTCGTCTTTTAGACCCGTCAAGCTGCCATAAGAATGATCTAACATCGAACTCTTCTTGCTGGAAATTTCATTACCTTGGCTACTCATCAGACCAAATCCATATTCATCCTTGTTCTTGATACTTTCTGGTTTTCCCCCCTCTATTTTCAGATAGCTTTCATGGTATTCTTCATATTTGCACTTATTTTCCAGAAAGCGTGACGATCTTTCGTATTGAACCACTTGGCCACTCGAGATGTTCCCGATTGCATTTCCCACGGATGGAAAACCATCTGCAAAGAACAAAAGACCAAACAATCAATACTCAAAACTGAGTCTGCTTAAAAATAAGATCTAACCAGCCCATTTAAACACACAAGACTTCGAGTGGTTGTAAAATATTTTCAGTAGCCAAAGGATTCTGATACACTAGTTTGTATTACCTCCATGCAAACTACTGAATTCATCGTCTGAGTCGGACTCCAGAACACTGACAGAGTCAAACCAAGCTTCATCTTGGCCACTTGCTGAAACACAACATTTGAAAATCCTATTAACATTGTTCCTAAAGTGTTTGAGATAAATTGTCTGTATTTGACTTTAGACAAAACAATAGTGAGTCAAACATGGGCTTCATTTCAGACCATATGATCAAGAAAATGAAGCATAAACAGAGAATATTTGTTGATTGATATACTGCACAGCTAAATTTCTTGCCTCTTTATATCCAAGAGATCAAAATGCTGGATAGTTCAAGAACAGAGCAAACAACAGTTCAAAAGAAACTATATAGATCACTTGTTAGATGCATTTAATGAGATCCTATCAGGGACCTCAACGACAGAATACAATGGAAGGGGCATACCGCTTGCATCATACTGGCTGTGGAGCCATTGCAGCTGAGTGAGGTGGAATGTTGAATTAGAAACTTCTGATCTTCTACAAGTAGTGGTTGCACCACTCTCAAGATCCATATGAACAAACTCACTGACAGCATAATCAGTGACCCTATTTCCAGCATTGCTCTTTCTTTTTATGATAGCTTTGGGGATAGTATTGGTAATCTTTCTACCATATTTTCTAAACTGATGATGCACATTCTTCCGACTTCTGATCTTTTCTGAGTGTGTTGATACACAGCCTCCCATGATAGCCTTCTAAACAACAAAAGGAGCAATGGTTCCAATACAGAAAAAGGATCGCAACAAGTTCAATTCACCTCATAAAATACCTGAAAATAAACAATCAGATTACTCAGGTCTCTGACTGCAATGGATTCTACAATTTTATTGCATATGCTGGATTCTATTCATGAACATGAAGAGTTGCTCACAACCCAGAAGTTATATCTCCAAAAGAACACAAGGATGCAAGACAGATTCAAATCATTAAATGTGCATAAACTGGTTGAGAAGAAGAAATTTCCTAATGTACATGAAAAAAGAAAAGAACACGCATACAAATTCTAGCAGCTTGGTAGAAAAGTTGAATAATCAGAGAACTTTGAAGTTTCCACATTGCTTTCCTTCTCGAAAGAGAGAGCCCAAAAACAAAAGAACAAATAAATAGAAAAGGAATTTTAAGAGAGAAGGTCAGAGGGTCCACTTAAAAGAATTGAAGAGCATGATGTTTCATGAGTAAAAACTACAGAAAAGTCAGAAAAAACAGAGTCATTCCACAGAAGAAAACAAAACCCAATTGCGTTTTAATGCTTCTGGCGATGATGACAGCGATTAACAACAAAAACAAAAAACTATCGATTCAGCACTTAAACGAAACAGAACGATGAAAAACACGAACAAGAACATTTGACGCACAAAGGGCATTTGAACAAAACATAAAGAAAATGCAGGAACAAACCAGAACTGATAAAGGGTGAGAGAGATAAAACTCCAAAAACGATTCCTCGATGCCGGCGAGATCTCGGTGGATTTAGCTCCCTTTCTCTGCTATCCAGAAACAGAAAGAAAGACAGAGAGAGGGAGGGAGAGGGTTGGTGGGTGAATCCGAAAAGAACCCGGATCGAGGTGCAATAAAATACCCAGATGACGATTCTTCCTAGAAATTATGAAACAGAATCGTCAAAAGAGAAAGAAACGAATAAGGAAAAGAAAGAAACGGAGAGAGATGAGAGTTAAATACAATAGAACGTGAGACGCATAATAAAAGGGATTGAGAAGTTTCTAATTGTTGGTCTTCGCATTTTCTTTCTCCTCCAATTTAGGTTCGTTTTTTTGTCTCTCAATTCTTAGGCACAGAATCAGAGAGAGAAAGAAGGGTTCGCTGTCGTCTCTTCCAGCTTCAGAACTCGTCTCCCATGGAATTAATTTTTCAGTCCTTCGCGCCCTGTATTTTTTTATTATTTATCATATTTCTAAATATTTAAATTTAAATTTTTCAAATTTTTAAAAAATAAATATTATATAGATTTGTTTGGCACAAAAGTAGGTTTTTAATTGAATTCTTAATTAATTATAACCATGCTGTTATACCAAATTATTGAATAATTAATAATAAATAGTTATTAATGCAATTATTAATTTTCTAAAGTCACTATTTGAAACAAGTGATATCATATCTACGAGGGATTAAGGTCTTAATTAGAGTATTTTAAAAAATAAATAAAAATAGGATGGTATTTAATATGGTTGGGTGTCTTGTATTTATATTTATTAATTTATATTCTAAATCAAAACTATTTCTAATATAAATGAAAAAAAAAATATCTTCCATATATATTAGTAATTATGTGATATCTATATTTATTATTTTCATAATTTTTTATCCATTATTATTTTGAGTTTTTGTTTATTTATTTTAATGTATATTATTATTTAAAATTGGTTCAAATGAAACATATTATATGGGGAATGGCCCAACAAACCCAAAAATAAAATAATAATAATAATAATAATAAACAAACAAAAATAAAGAGAAATAAAAGATACGGTAAAGCTTCATTATCAAAATAAGCCAAAAATCCAACTTCAATATAGCTGTATTCCTCTCCTCTCTTTTTTATTTCCTTTTAAATAAATTAATAAATAAAATAATTAATTATCGACCTTTAATATTCTAACTTTTTATAATGATATAGTATCGTCTACTTTGAGTGTATACTCTCATGACAAATCTTTTAATTAGCCGACGCGGGACTCCTTTCCCAACCATTTTCAATAGAAGCTTGATTAATTTTGTCATTTTAGTGCAACAAATCGGCGTGTGGGGAAAGGTTCAGTGAGTAACTTGGTGTGTTGGTATCTATCATATTTCACAGGAGCGTAACGTTTTGTGTCCATGATGCTACCTTGTGTCCCCTTCCCTCCATGTGATTTGTTAGGTCGTTCGGTTTGATGTGTTTATTTATTTTGTTGTTGTACGTGCCTTAGGGTTTCCATTCGAGATATTTACGAGCGCTTCCTCGCTTAAGATAGGTTTTCTTTTGGCCTAATTAATTAAAGATGCATTGAACAAACAGGGAGAATATAAAAAAGAAAGAGATGATGCAAATAAAACTATATTCTTTCGCCAAATTATAATTATAATAATTAGATAGTGTTAGCATATTCAATGAAACTTCCTAGGAAATTGAAACACTTTGCAAACAACCAATTAATCAATTTCTAGGGTTTAGAGAATTTAATTAATATTTTATTTTTAAAATATTTAATTTTTAGGGTTTAATTAATATTTTATTCATGGATGCACTAAATCTAATACCTTTAAACACGGAAATTAATGAAGATAATCGGCTTATTATCCATTTAATTGCCATTAAACTTTTTATACCAATAACATATTTTAACCATTTGATTTAATTTTAAATTTTATAGGAGCCCAAATTTCATTTAAATTTTAATAACGTGTTTGAATTTATTTTTCAATGAAATTACAATTTCACAGCTAAATTAATGTGATATTTAAAATGTTTGTAAGAATAAAAACCTAATATATAACTTAAGAAAATATTTGCAGAATTAAAATAAAAAAATAAAAAGTACCAAATCCTGAAGGCCCGATGATTCTAGAAGGCCTGGCCCAATGATTCTAGAAAGCCTGGCCCAATGGTTCTAGAAAGCCTGGCCCAACTCGAAGTCCAATATCCAGAAGGCAGTCAATCTCCACCATTTTATTTTATTTCATTTTTATTTTGTCAAACACATCTCGTTCGCTGCTGAATCGAGGACGCGACGACGACGACTTTCTGGACCTTCAGCCTCCGGTGAGATTTTAAGAATCTTCTACTTGACGGAATTTCTTAGATTTTAGGATCCATTCTGCATCATCTTCTTCTGTTGTGCCTGATTCTATTTTTTGTTCCAGGTAGAGTCTCCTCTTTTTTTTTTGTCTGGATTGTAGGAATTCAATGGACACTTTTAATGGCTTCAATCGTTGATTATATGGAAGTTTGTTAGATTTTAAATTTTTATGTATGTTCTTTTTGTTTGTTGTGTTGAAATTAGTTGCGTAGGATTGAAGTTGTTAACATTATTCTTCTCTTGGAAGAGAAATAAAAGAAAACAAGGGGGGTAAAGAAGGAGATCGTAGCCCATCTGTCAACTCCGATCTCTTCTCTTTCTCATTAATGGAGTTGAAAGATTTTCATTTGAATTGCTGGTTGTTTCAAGTAGAAATTAGTGAAGTTTGATTAGGGGAGGTCATTTAATTGGTTTTTTTTTTTTTTTTTTTTTTTTTTTTTTTTTTTTTTTTTTTTTTTTTTTTGTTATTTTGTTTAGAGTTCGGTGGCTAGTTTTTCTCTTTCATTTGGTTGAATCTTTGTAAAAAGACATGTTGTTTGATTTTATATATAAGTTTAGAGTTCTTTCACTTCTTGAATTTGTAATGTTTTTTCAATTTGGTGAGTTGACATCTTGAGGTTTTAGTAAAAACTTTAGTTTGATTTATTTTCTTGGGAAAATGGTAGAAGTATAGTTGGTTTTAATGATCCTGTTGTTTTACATGAGTTCTAAGTAAGAAAATTTAGTAACACTCCATAATGTAGGTGTAATTTTTATCCTCCTCTTGATATCTTCTTAATGTATTTGATTCTTGATTTCAAAGGTGGCTCCATTGTGTTGAATTTTGAAGACTGCATTCTTGATATTTCCTGTCATGGCTTCGAGACGGAATGTTCGTTACAGCTCCCTTTCTACTGATGATAATGATCTCGATTTAGATGGAAATCAATTTGACCCTCGCTTTTACTATACACCGAAAGCTTTTGACAAGATCCCGTGGAAATCCATCGCTCTTGCTATATTCCTGTTATTTCTTGGATCATTTCTTCTCTTTCTTTCGTACTTCGTATTGACTGGTCATATGGCAGGAGAGAAATCACAAGCTTATGGTCTTTTAGCGTTGGGGTTTCTTACCTTCCTCCCAGGTATTCATCAAATTTTCTGTTTCATATTTTCTTGAATACATTTCTTCATCGTTGATTTACATTGTATGCGAAGTGTGTACTCGTTTGGCTTTGGTTTGTTTCTAAAATTATTGGATACGACTTCGGTGTATATGCCTCTTCATTGACCTGTAGATAGCAATAGTTTGGTTTGTTTAACTGTCAAATAAGAAGATGCAATCCAATGGCGTCATGATCATGTAGAATAATGAGTGAAAATAGAAACAGGACAATTCCTGCCAAAGGAATTAATACACTTCCATTGGCACTGTCAATGGTGGGAGAAGATTTTACCAAGAAATTGTCAGTGTTTCTTTAATTGGAAGCTTGAAAGTTTATTAAATTTCCACAAAGAAAGTTTGTACCAATAGACTTCTCATATGTGAACCACTTTTCACGTTGAGTATTAGTGCATAGTTTTGTGCTATCAAACTTAATGTTCCTAGAATTTTGATTCTTACTTATTTTCTTCTTTTCCATTACACAATGAATGTATTAAGAAATCTACAACGGAGTGTAAATCACAGTTTTGTTATATTTGAATAGGACATCAGCAGAATTACTGTTGACTCATCTTGTCCCAGAAGTTGGATAATCTAATCCACTTTTGCTTTGTTGATTCAGGCTTTTATGAGACTAGGATTGCATATTATGCATGGAGGGGTGCTAATGGATATCGCTTCGCATCGATTCCCGATTACTAGGTGTTCATATCGCGGTGGTGTATGCTTGTCTCATTTCTCTTTCAACGTAAAACTATCATATAAAGTCAGAAAATGGTTTGTACAGAATCACATCTCTCGAGTTTGTAATGTATTCATCTCTTGTTCCTCTTTCATAGGCTGTTTAGGGTTAGGAAAACGATTAATGATGTAGCTTTAGCTCATTTACTTGACAAGTCCTGTAGCTAAAGTCAAAAACTTAATGCCCTTGCAAACACTTCGAGTGAGATTTATCCATGATTAACGGTGTGGATCAAGGTTTTTATGTAGGATTTGAAGTTGTATGGATTACATTGTGCAGAAGAAAGCATTGTTTCATGACAAAGAACTACCACATGAATCTTTAGTTGCAGCTGATGCAGCTTTTGTGAATGCTTCTTGTTATTGCACAGCTCACCGAATCTCTATCTTACCTTCTTCCCAATGCGATGTCATCTTTGCTTAGTTAATTAGGTTATGATATCTACACTATAATTACAGTCATTCTGGAAGTGGACCCGACCGCTGTCCAAGATCCCAACAAAGCTGCAATGTGTAAAGAAACTCAACTCGATAGCCTTAACTTCATTGCCCGGAGGATGTATATCACTCTGACCAAGAACATACTGAAAGAATATCATGAGCTGATAGGAGATCAACATATCGAGGATCCTTAGATTGAAGTAAGGAAGCGAGCATTCGCGTACACGTTAACTTCGATAAACATTGGTTTAATGCAAGATTTAACTCACTAATTGGGTGCTAAAAAACCTTGACTGGCAAACCGAAATTATTGTTGTGTCCAAATTTGAGCTCCAGCAAAAACAAGAATTCTACTTATAAAGAGTGTGAAAACCTTTTTTAGTAGACATTTAAAACCGTGAAGTCGACTACCCAGACTGTTACAATAAAATTTGACTAAATTAGTTTTAAATTAAAAATGTAGGATAAAAAGATATAACCTTTTTTTTTTATCAAACTCAATAATAATAAGGTTAAATTATAATTCTAATTTTTCAAAATTAACTTTATACTTATTTAATCTCGACATTTTAAAATCTACTCCTAATTTTGTTTTTTTATAATTAATGGATTCTTGGTTTCAAGATATTGGATATATGGGATATATTAGATATAAAATTAGGATTAATAATTTTAAAATATTTTATTGAATACAAATGCAAAAGTTTGGGAGATATATTATATATTTGTAAAGTTTGGACGTTTTTTAA